CCCCAATGAATCTTACAACACATATTAATTTTTATAATATAAAATATTTAAGTGGCAAATCCAAAATTTAGGGATTAGACATATAAAAACATTTAAAGTTAAGCGGCATCGATGCAATCGCCCGTTGATAAATGATAAGCGCGTGTCCTACCCCATCTTTTAGTCGAGGTAAAAATGACTTAATACGTCACTTTCTAATTCACCCAATTGACGTTTGCACCCAAAACGGCACCCACCGCTCGGCAACGCGTTGTCAGCTTCACAAGCAATTCGAACATCCTTCTCTTCCGGTTCCCAAAAAAAAAAAAAGTAGGGTAAATAACTTACCTTTTTCCTTTAGCCTTTTTCACCTGCCTCCCCTCATTCCTATCCACCGCCTCGTATCATTTAAAAAGGAAATTGCATATATAACCCCCAAAAAGCTATTATTACAAAAATAGTCTATTCGAGTGATACCTTTAAACTACTGAACTATCATCAGTTCTGATATTTGAGTTAGAATTTGAAAAATAGAGGAGAGAGTGTTATATTTGTAAATAGCAAATATTCCCTTATTTTAACTATTTAATATCATAATTTTAATATAAGTTTAATTCAATTAGAATATCTTAGTAAAAAAAAAAATTATAAATTTTATGACTAAGCTAAGCTAATTTCGGGCGTGATGTGCACATAAAATATAATTTTATTAATTATTTGTATACTATAATTTAAATGTCACTTACTGTTTTATTGGCATGACCAAGTGGGAGAAAATAATTTAAAATATAATATATAAATAATTCTTATTTTGGGATAATTTTATGATTTTCTTATTTAAAAAGTTAATTAACACAAGAATAATATTTATTTGAATGATGATAAGTTTAAATTATTTTAAGATTTTTTTTAAAAATATATTTTAAATTGTGGCAGTAAAAAAAAGCCTCTAAATTTTAAAATAAAGGAGACATAATCGCCCCAAATGAAAAAGATAGATAATTACTTAATAGATATATTAACAGAGAAGAGCTCTTTGCATGTATGTAATAGATGTTTGGTCTAGTAGGCACCAAATATCGATTCTCCCAAATGGTTGAAAACCATGATGTGCTTGTTTCTGATTCGAAGAGCACGGAATTCGAACCCCCAACTCAAGGGATTTACGTCAGAGGCCACACCAATGAGTCAGGTCATTTGCATTTGCAAGTATGTATATAAGTCCCCAATTTTTTATGATATCAAATTTGGTATGTTTGTAAAAAGTGAAAATATAGCAGACCATAGAAATTCAAGTTTATGTGGTAGATATGTAAGTGCATAAGAATTGAGTGGTTCGTATGTAAATTTTTCTAAAACGGTTTAATTTACTTTAAATTAGCGTGATCAAAACTAAGGTAAGGTAATTGGCAGCAGAACATCCCAGAAGACCAGCAACCGCTGCTTCTCTTCTTTATTATCTCTCGGCAGGAAGAACGGTTTATTCTCTGTCATGCAATAAAAACCTTACCGGAAAAACGTGACTTTCTACCTCCTTCCCTGCTTCCCTCCTTCCCTCCTGCTCCGGTGACCGGAGAATTGAGAGCTGTCATTCATAGAAGAATCTACCTAATACACTTGCATCACAGTTCTAAAAACTCCAGCCTTGTTAGCAAAACTCCATTTTTCTTCTGTCTTATGACAATTCACTTTGAAGCTCACCTTTCTGGTCAAAATACATGCTTTTGTTAAGGTTTTGATTTCTTGTTCATGGATCTTGAGGGCGGGACTCACATGAACAGCTTTAAGGTGATTGAACTTGATTTTACCTTTTTTTCCTTTAGCTTCTAAGCAATTGGTTTCGAATTATGTGTGTTGTTGGGCTGCAGAGAGAATCATGGCGGACGGTTCTCACGCTCGCGTACCAGAGCCTCGGCGTGGTTTATGGCGACCTGAGCACTTCGCCTCTTTACGTCTACAAGAGCACCTTCGCGGAAGATATTAAGCATTCTGAGACCAACGAAGAGATCTATGGTGTTCTCTCCTTCGTTTTTTGGACTCTGACTCTCATTCCTCTGCTTAAATACGTCTTCATAGTCCTCCGAGCTAACGACAATGGCGAAGGAGGGACCTTTGCTCTCTACTCTCTTCTCTGCCGACACGCACGTGTTGGGTTTATTCCGAATGGGCAGCTCGCAGACGAGGAGTTGTCGGCCTACAAAAAGACTGACAGTTTGAGCCGCAGCGGAGAAGGTTCGATTGTTGGAGAGGCCGGTTATGGCGGCCGTTCGGAGATGGCTCCGGCGAAAGTGAAGAGATTGCTGGAGCAGCACCAGGTTCTTCAGCGACTTCTGCTGATTCTTGCTCTGATTGGGACTTGCATGGTTATTGGTGATGGTGTGCTTACTCCTGCACTATCTGGTAGATTGAATTTCTGTTTTACCGTTCTGTTTTTTTTTTTTTTTTTTTTTTTTTTTTGCTAATTTTAGTCTGTTTGATTTTATTGAATTGTGCTCTTAATCATGTTTCTGTTTGTCAGTATTCTCTGCCGTCTCTGGGCTGGAACTTTCCATGGCTAAGGAGCATCATAAATGTAAGCGGCAACAAACTTGTTGACTTTAGCTGTATTTAGTGGAATATGGATCATTGAGCAAATAGTATATTTCAGGCTTTGCTGCGCCGACATGAATTTATGAGATTAGAAAGTGAATTATGTGTTGCTTAGTTTCGTCGGGCCGGCCCGGGTTAAATTTGGTTTTATCTTCCTGCCCCTAATGTTTTGTATGCTTATATTGTGAAGCATTTGATTATGATTTGTCTTGTAGTGTAGTGCCGGGTTAAATTTGGTTTTACTTCCTGCCCCTAATGTTTTGTATGCTTATGAAGCATTTGATTATGATTTGTCTTGTAGTGTAGTCTGGCATTCAATTTTTTGACTGATTGCGACCTTGATGACCTTGATTGTGGCTGGCTTATTCATCTGAAATTTTTTTTCAGTTTTCATTTGAAGTCTGATCTCACTCTATGTAAATTCCTGAATTTTCTCCGTTAATTTCTGTTGAAATTTTGGGGTATACCGATGGTGACATGGATAATGGTTGTGCTAAAAGATATGTGTGAACTGAAAATGTTTTGGAGAAATTTACTGTTATGAATATTAATTATTGTCATTTACAAGTTAGCTCTCTTTGGCTAGATTCACTCGTTGAAGCAAATGTGAATACTGCCTCATTCTCTACTGTCAACATCTCATCTCAATATGATTATGTATATAATTGTTATTATTATTATTTTGCAGATGTTGAGGTTCCTATTGCATGTATCATATTGATTTGCTTGTTCGCGCTGCAACATTTTGGTACCCACCGAGTAGGATTCCTATTTGCACCGATTGTTATAACATGGCTCTTATGCATCAGTATGATCGGTATCTATAACATCGTCCATTGGAATCCAAATATTTATCAAGCGTTGTGTCCTTATTATATGTACAAGTTTTTGAAGAAGACACAGAAGGGAGGATGGATGTCCTTGGGTGGAATTCTGTTATGCATTACAGGTAGTATAGATTGAGAGCTGTTTATGTTCATTTCGAATATTATTCTAACATTCTAATTACCTTCGACAATTTGTAGGTTCTGAGGCAATGTTTGCAGATTTGGGACATTTCTCTCAGTTATCTATAAGGGTAAGAAAGTTCCGTGTCTTTGATTATTGCGGTCTGTATCTTGTAGATAAATTTATTACTTCTGGCATTTGTCAACTTATTTGCCTTTAATATAGACTATGCATGCAAATAATCTTGAAGCTGGGTGATATTTGCATTACATTTGTTGTTGAGTATTTAGGATTTTGATTTTTTTAAGGCTCAGTCTGGTATTGTAGGATTTAACATATCCTATCTATTTGAAAGTCATCACTCACGATACTCCCATCAGAATTATCAAGTTGTAGAGCATCATGTTCATTTATGTGTTCACTAATTAGAGGGAGGGGAAACTTTCAGAATTGGCAAAACATATATTAATTTTTGCTTGCAGAAGATGATGAAGACCATTTTTGTAGGGCTAGCAGGAGTAGGCATGTTAGTCTTAGTATTCTGAGAAACTCAATTGGTTCTAAATTCTAAGTCCATATTTGAATTAATGACAATCAATTATTATATAAAAGTATGAAGGGCCTAAACATTTGAATGTCACCCTTGCATTTGAATGTTTGATTTACTTCGATTTGGAGGAGCTGTGAAACATTCGGAAATCATGCAAAAAATTTTAGAGAAAAAACAACATATGAGGTGCCTTCAAAGATTACTTTATATCAATATTAAAAAAAAAATGAGTCAATCTGTATCTTCTTTTCCAACAATAAGGTCAAGCTGTTGGGTTGAATATAGGATGACCACTAATTTATTTTGCTTGTGGCCTCCTTTGATCCTCGTTATAACATACGAGGTAGCTAGAAATGGTTGGCTATTGGTAAAAATTGAAAATGGGTGCCATGAAGGAAGCAATGTGGGATTGGTAACATGGGAGAGGGATTCAAGATAGGTATAAAGGTGGCTATTGGTCAAATCATATCTTGTTACTCTCAAGAGAGTTAAGTGGGAGGGCTATAGAGAGGAAGCATATGTGGGCCAGGAATATAATGATTGTATTGATCTTGGTCTATTTTAGTTTAGCTGATGTGGGATGCCGAAACAAATTTGATAAAATAATCTTTATTGAGATTTTATCATGAGGTTTTGTTTCAAACTTAATCAAAATGTAAGATAACCCAAATGCTTGGAACCTATTAGTAATTTAGCCAAAATAATTGACATTGAAGGGAAAAGCTTTCGAGTATTTTGAAGAATTACATAAATATATAATGGTTTGATAGGCGATTGATGTCTAGTGTTTCTCAAGTGCATGTTGAACTTCAAATGAGTAACTTTTTTTCAATCAAATTTCTAATTGCTTATAGCTATTAGCTTTGTTATTGCATTGTTTTATTTCCTTGTGCTAAATAAAATTTTCATTGTGGGAGTTGACACAACCCTTGGTTGAATAAATTGTTATAGTGTCGGCTTGTTAAATTATATATTTTTAATCAATCCATTTTCCTATATGAAAATAAAACTATTGCAATTTTTCTATTGGATGAAATTAGTGTAAATAGTAAACGCCGAAAATAGTTGTTCTGAGTCCAATAGTGATTACCTTAAGCATTATTATGAAGAGGTGAAAAGAAGATGTTGTTTTCGTTCCTTTCTCTTTTTATTTTTAAAGTAGTCGACAGTTTGTATATTGTCGTATACCTCCCTTTTCTGAATAAATCTCTTCTGAATCATGTGAATGATTTGGATAAGAGAGGAGCCATAAAAGACGAACATAAGATAAAGACAACAAACAAGAGAAAGAACGTGGAAAACCTACGTGCGATAAACCTCGCAAGGATATGTCAAGTATGTCCGCCCAACAAGATCAGGCGAAAGCACGTTAGACTGATGTCCGTGAAAAAATATCCACGTAGACTACCAACAACTAGAGATTCATGTGTGTTTATCTGTTGTATGGTCTAAAGTGCTCCCAAGTGGACGTATCTCACTTGTTTAATTACATCTTGAGAGTTGCACAAGAATACTCCTAATCCAAGAGAGTTTTTCTTACATTAATACTGACGATTAACACAGGGCTATCAAATGATGGTTATTTCACAGAGGAATGCTCTAATGTTTTTAAAGCTCCCACTAAGCCACGTGACGGAGAGTGAATCTCTCACGATCCCCACATGGGTAGCAGACTCATCGACATACAGAGCCTGCAAAGTAACCAAATCATCATGAAGGGGAGTCTCAATACGTTAAAGCACTTCAGGGCCATAAAAGGCAGAAGACAAATCGTCGTATCACAAACTGATGGCAGCTGATCGACAATCATTGATATGATACCAACGTAGGCAAAAGGAGCGACATGACTCAACAGGGGTAGTCAAAGGAAGGGGGAGTAATCCTTAGAAGATAGAGGTAGTCGGTTCAAGGTACCACAGAACCATTATCCTTGGTCACTATAACTCTAAGTCTACTTGGTCGTGAAGGTAGTCAACCCAACACGTCCATAGTTCCTCGGTCAGTAATCCGTGAACTTTGTCATCCACGGGAACTTTAATAACGCTAAGGTCAAATGAAAGAATTGCTTTTCTATGACTATCAGGTGAAGCTCAAAGAGATGTGACTTATATCTACCGAAGTTGTAAGAATGTCGTTGGAAAAGAGAAATAGAGGCTCGGCTACGAAGCTGGAAACACTCCTGAAAAAAGGATTTATTACCCCGTCTGGGTCAGGGGGTCTTCTAATGTTTTAAGTACACTAGACAACCACCTAAGTAGAAATATATGTTGGGTCAGTCGGGTTAGAGTTGACTCGATGGATGGATGTGCCGTGAAGGGAGTAACCCGAAAGGATAGCCGTGTCCCAAAAGGGTAGGCGTACCGTGGAGGCAGCTGCTCAAAGGAATTAGTATGTCGTAGAGGCAGTGACCCAAAAGATGGGTGTGTCGTGGAGGCAGTGACCCGAATGGGTGGGCGTATTGTGGAGGTGGCTGCTCGAAGGATGATTATCATTGGAGAGAATCATACAATTCGGGTGAGTGTATGAACGGACACTCAAAGTGCGACTCAAGCATGTGATAGAGATTATAGAAGATGTCATGCGAGACATATAACATAAGCGGTATTGTGTTCGGCTTCCTAAGTTATAGGATGCCACTATGAAGAATTACACCTTGTGCCAATAATGACCAGACACGCATGCAAATGACAAGCACATACAGAGTATAAGCACCATGCAAGCAAAGAAACAAACACAAATACATGTGCGATATATATGCAATCAATAGTTCGATCGGGCCGTGGCGGCCGGTCGGACCAAAGCGATAGGTCGACATGGTCGGGGTGGCCGGTTAGACCTAAGTGGTTGTTCAACCGGGCCGTGGTGGCCGCCAGACTCGAGCGATCAGTCGATCGGATCAAGGTGGTTGGTCGGTCCGAAATGATCGGTTGACCGGGTCGGGGTGGCCGGGACGGCTGCTCGGACCAAAGTGCTATGTCAATTGGGTCGGGGCGACCGATAGAAGCAAGATAAGTGGAGGAAGATCAAGGTGGGGAGGAAGAGAAGAGGATGAAGAAGAGTTTCTTATGGAAGAAGAAGAAAGGAAAGAGGAAGTAGAAGCTTTCTCCCTCACCTTTTCCCCAAGCTCTCCACCTCAAGGTCTTTAAGAAGAAGTAGAAGCTTTCTCCCTCACTTTTTCCCCAAGCTCTCCACCTCAAGGTCTTTAAGAAGAAACCCTAGCTCCAAGGAAGAAGAAGCTCTCCCTTGCCCTCTCAAGCACACTCAAAGCTCCAGACTTCAACCCTCTTAAAAACTAAAAATGAGATGATAAAATCAGCTTACCCAAGGAAATCTTGCCCGTTGATTAAACCAAGAATGGCTAATGAGGAGTACTTAGAGCAGGTCAAATGAGGCTAAAATCCATGGGTTTAACGCCCCTTGTGCATATCTCCTCAAGTTCAAGGAGATCTCTGTAATGACGACTCATTGGGGGGTCCACTGACATCAAATCGACGCTAGAAACAGACTTTTTCGCGACCTGAAAATGGATCGAAGCCTAGGCGCCAGGACTCTGGCGCCTAAACACCACCTAGGCGGTGCCTATTTTCCCATTTCTCAGGAAAATTGTTGTTTTGAGTTTTTTTGGGCGCCTAGGCGCCAAAAACTGGCTCCGAACTTCTAGGGGCTTGGTTTTGACCATTTGAGAGGGCATTTTGGTCGCCTAAGAGCCCGGGGCTGGCGCTTAAGCATCGGTTTATCCCCGAAAACCCTGAATAACAACGGGAGCACCTATCGGAGTATTTTCTTGATCCGAGCTATGGGAGACCACTTATGAGTAACTCATGATCCCTTAACCTAAAAAATGAGTCCATTGCTCGGAGAATTTGTCGCCGATGGGCACTCCGAACTACGACACAAGTAAGACATTCCAAATTCTAATTTTCCTTTAGCGCGTGTAGGAGTACTTTGTGACTTCTCTTGACATCTTGGAAGGCTCCGAATGGATACAGAGGGACCTCTAAACACCAGAGCGGACACAAACTTGTCCAATATCCTCAGTAGGCCTGCTCAATGCGGATTATTCCAGGTAGAGATGAATGTCGCAGACCATGGTTTAAATGCTCCGAACATGTACCGGAGGTCTTGGATGAGTGTCTTGATCTACGGGATACTATGAATAAGTCATGAATCGGTCCGAGCCAGCCATGTGGATACTCTGCACACGTGACATAAAAAATTGACGCCAACAATAGTTTGGATAATGATTTCTTTGTAATTGGACTCTTTGTTAAATGAAGACTTGAATGATTAATGAGCCCAAAAGGATCCATGAATACATTTTTTTGGCCATTTATGTCTCATTTGCGCTTCTCTCCTGTTCACATGAAGTCTCGGGTTTGTTATATGTATTAAGAGCCACTCCGCGTGTATTAATTAGCCTATTTGGAAAGGGTCATGAAAGTTTTTACTAAAGTCTTGGGTTTGATCCTCAATCACACAATAATGAATTCTTTATCTTACGGAATTTCGGGTGAGCCAAAAATTAAAAAAATAAAAAAAATAAAAAAAATTTGTATTTATAACCACTCAAACTACAAAGAATATCTATCAATCTTTTTTGCTTTAGTTAAGGATCGGCTTTAAACTCGTGTCTTTTTGCTTTAGTTATGGATGTTCTTATTGAATATTTACAGGAGAATGTACCTAGATGTTATTCTTCTTGTGGATAAGATTAGAACAAGTGTTCAGGTAAGACTTGAATTATGGATGTCAACTAAATGCTTTCATTTGAGTAGATATAAAATTGAATACATAGAATGTAATTTTAGTAGTTGTAAATCTATTAGCGGGGTTGTAACAATAAGAGATCAAAACATTAAAAAGAGTGAATGCTTTAAATATATTGGGTCTATTATTCAAATTCATGGTGATATAGATGGGGATTGGATGGTTGAATTGGAGGAATGCATCAGGGCTTATTGTATGATAGAAAAGTATCGCTTAGGCTTAAAAGGAAAATTTTATAAGATGGTGGTGAGGCTTGCAATGTTTTATGGTGCAGAATGTTAGCTTATAAAAGAAAAGCATAAAATTAAGTTAAGTGAATTATGTTAATGTAGATGAGTGACTTTACGCTAAGAGATACACTTAGGACAAAATGCAAAACGAATGTATTCATCAAAGAGTTGATGTTGCTCCAGCGACGGACAATATTAGAGAGCATCTTAGATTTTGTGATCAAATTAAATTTCGGTCATCTAATAATCCTGTTAGGAGAGTAGTGTTTTAGATTGACTTATGTTAAGAAAAGTAGAGGTAGACTTAAAAAACTTGGGCATGTTATTTAAAAATGATCTTAATTTATTAGAATTAAATGAAAATATCAGACTCAATATGACAAAATGGAGGAAAAAGATTTATCTAACCGATATAAAGGCTTTTTGTTGTTGTATTCAATCTTCTTGTGTTCACATTTTTCCTAACTTCTTATTGTTCTGATTTTGGCATGAGAAATACTCCCTTCCAATTTTTTTTAGTGGCATTTACATACACACCACACAATTCTATGTATTTTGCATATCTAACTCCAAAACATTCATATTTACATCCATGCCACTCAAATTTTTAACATCACATAAAAATACAGCCTTCATTATCTTTTTAAAATGAAATACATCTTTTTAGGCATAAGTTTATCACACAAAGATGTTATAAGTGTAAGTATCAAACTTTGGGTGTTATATATATATATATATAAGAATTGTGTGGTATGTATGTTAAGGACCCTAAATTATCACGGGTTCGATCCCCAGTGGTGCTGGGTTCTCGAATATTTAGGCACATGGCGCGAGCTCTCATCATGGGGCCTAGTGCATGGGAAATCGGTATTTGGGCCTCTGCCAAATATCGATTTACTTTTAAAAAAAACATGTAAATACATAAGACTTGTGTGGTATGTATGTATATTTTCCCTTTTTTTTTTAAATCTATGTGCATTGATAAGAGGTACATAGGTAAGGGGAAACCAGTCCAATCCAAATAGTAATTGCAAAAAGCGCACTTTTGTATACAAAATTTACAGAACATTCCTTAACAGATGATTTGCTATTGCTTCAAAAATATTTTACATATGAGGAATAGTTTTGCATGAATAGAGAGGCAATCATGTCTCTGATACAATTCCTTCATCAATCACTGAGGACCTGTTACTTTATGCAGATTGCTTTTACCTTTGTTGTTTACCCATCATTGATTCTAGCTTATATGGGACAAGCTGCATATCTATCCCAACACCATATCATCGAAACTAATTATCGAATTGGATTCTACGTATCCGTTCCAGGTAATCGTTGTTCTCGATATAGTTTTCTCGATAAATGTTAATTAACAGTTATATAAATACATTTATTTTTCATTTTAGAGAAATTAAGGTGGCCTGTTCTGGGTATAGCCATACTTGCTGCTGTGGTAGGAAGCCAAGCTGTTATCACTGGTACCTTTTCAATAATTAAACAATGTTCTGCTTTGGGATGCTTTCCTAGAGTGAAGATAATACACACATCGCCCAAATTCATTGGCCAAGTATACATCCCGGATATCAACTGGATTTTGATGATATTATGTTTGGCCGTTACTATCGGTTTCAGAGACACGAAGCGCATGGGAAATGCCTCGGGTACCCATCACTGTGAAATCATTCCACGAAAATTTTCAAGAAACATTTACATACATACCTCACAGTTTTTATGTATTTACAGATCTAGCATCGAAAATTCAATTTTTACATGTATATCAGACCTTACATATGCATGAAAAGACGCATTTCACTTTTCAATGTTAAAATAGTGGTATGTATAAATGTTAAAAAGCCAAGTTTAGGTGTTAGATACGTAAATACATAAGAACTAAGTTGTATGTATGTAAATTCCCCAATTTGAAATTCTCCGCCTTCTTTTGTAATTGTAGTATTGAAGTCTTCTTAGCATGTTATTTTAACATTCCATCAGGGCTGGCGATAATAACTGTCATGCTCGTCACCACCTGCCTGATGTCTCTAGTAATTGTTCTCTGCTGGCGGCGGAGCATTGCCTTTGCCTTATGCTTCATCTTCTTCTTCGGCTCGATCGAGGCCCTTTACTTCTCCGCTTCCCTTATTAAGTTTCTCGAGGGAGCTTGGGTGCCCATCATCCTCTCATTTGTGTTTATGATCATCATGTACGTGTGGCACTATGGTACCCTCAAGAAGTACGAGTTCGATCTCCAGAACAAGGTCTCGATCAATTGGCTCCTTCGGCTTGGGTCCACTCTCGGGCTTGCGCGTGTTCGAGGCATCGGTCTTATTCATACCGAGCTAGTTTCTGGCATTCCGGCTATATTCTCACACTTTGTCACCAACCTCCCCGCATTCCATGAGGTAGGTCATGTTTACGTTGATATGAAGCACTTTGGTATTTTAAATATGTGCATGAAAAATGTGTATGTCACTTTTAAAAAGTGGTAATAGAACTATTTTTTAATGTGATGTTAAAGATTTGAGTGTGTTACGTGTGTAAATATGAAATTTTAGGTGTGAGATATGTAAATACATAAGAATTATGTGCTATGTAAGTAAATACCCCTTGAATTTTAAGCATATGTACTTATGAGATAAGCAGAAACTTTATATAAAATGAAACTTTGTGCACATATTTGTTTGATATTGTTATGACAATTTTGTTTACATTGTTATGGTTGGTTGATATTATTGTCATATAGCCTTACTCGTTAAAATTGGAGATACTTAGTGCTTATGGATTTTTTTCTTCACCAATCCTTTATAGCCTGAATACATTCTTCTCCTCCATGCACCAGGTCGTCGTCTTCCTCTGCATCAAATCCGTGCCGGTCCCCCATGTTCAACCAGAAGAGAGGTTCTTGGTCGGCCGGATTGGCCCGAAAGAATACCACATCTACCGTTGCATTGCTCGCTATGGCTATCATGACATCCACAAAGATGACATCGAGTTCGAAAAGGACCTTATGTGCAGCATAGCCAGCTTCATCCAGTCCAGTACTTCGACTGAGCTCAACAGTCTCTTGGAAGAAGAATCTTCCAAGGAGGATGAGAAAATGACGGTGGTCGGAACCGGACATTGGCTTCATGAGGTTCAGGAGAAGAGAGGGGTGGATGAGAACGAGAACTCCGATGAACCATCAAAGCATCGAGAAATACAGTCGCCGATGATTGTGAGGAAGAAGGTGAGGTTTGTGCTGCCTGAGAGCCCGAAGATGGACTCGACGGTGCGAGATGAGCTTCGAGATTTGATGGAAGCGAGGGAGTCTGGCATGGCCTTCATCATGGCAAACTCTTGCATGAGGGCAAAGGGTGGTTCTAGTTTCATGAAGAAGCTTGCTCTTAATTTGTATGATTTCTTGAGGAGGAACTCTAGGGGGCCATCTTATGCTGTAAATATACCACATGCTTCCACCCTTGAGGTTGGAATGAGCTATGTTGTATGAATAGCTGTTAATTAGCGGCCATGGTTTTTAATCTTTTTTGTTTATTGATTTTTCTTACATTTTTTGTGTATAATTATCAGTTTTGGAAGCTTTTTTTCTTTTCTTTTTTTTGGTTGGCATTTTTTGGTGCTGCGTTTGAATTGAATCGTTTTAAGTTTCAGTTCCATAGGATTTAGAGCTGATGTTATTGGAAAGAGCTTATCTGTTTTAGACAATTTAGGTTTTCATTAATGTAAGAGGCAATTTTTTTTTAAAGATTTTTTAGCACTTTTATGGAGGGATCTGCAAATTCTGCCTTTTTGTTGTATAGAAAGTTGATCATGACAAGAAAAAATATTAAATCAGGACTCCGTATATAGAGTTACATGTAGAGTCGAATGAAATCACGCCACATAGACAAATAAAAAAATTATGACCGGAAACATAAATGAATATTTCTCTCGTGTTATTTAGGTGTTATTGTGTTATTCAGGTGTTATTATGTGTTATGCAAATATTAATGATATATTATTATGTTATTATAACACTGCAGAATACAATAACACCTGAATAACACAAAATAACATGAGGGAAATATTCCCTTGTATTACTGGGCCGATCATTTTCACGACGTAATTTCATTGGACTCCGCACGTAACTCTACGTGCGGAGTCCTGATGTAATATTTATTCTCATGATAAAGTTATATTGTGCCATCGTTCGGACATATGTTGTTCTGAAGTAATATTTTCTCGTGAAGTTGCCCATTTGATTGGTTATGAATAGAAAATATATTTTACAAAATTATTTTATGTTTGAGGTAATTTTAAGATAATTTGAGTATGAAACTGCGTTATGTTATGTCGATTCAGTGTTATCTACATGATTTTCTGGACGTACGATGTCTGGACGTGAACGTGATATTCTTCTAACTTATTGATATAATAATTTTTCAAACGGTATACAATGTAATATTTTTTTGATTGATTTGATTAGTTTTTATACACTCCTTTACTTAGCATGCAAGGACAAATATGCAATAAATATTTGTTTTGATAGTAGCCAAATTATCAATTTATTTAAACACCATCAAGCTTTATATTGATCCTTATAGAAGATCAAAAATTTAAATGATGTTTTAAATTAATCTAGTTCAAGCGAGTACTTAATTAATTAATTAAGCCCGAGATCGAGTTTTAAGTCTATGAGTGTGAGCCGATTCACCCTCTGACTAGTTTATTATGAAAGCGAGAAAATAATTTTAATTTAAATTAGAGTTATAATTGATAAATTGCATGAATAATTAGAAGCTAAACAATAAGAGATAAATTGATATGAAATATAAACTATATATTTTTAATATTTTATTAAATTAAAGAAAAATATTAAATTTAATATATTTTGAGTATATTTAATATTAATATTTTTTTAATAAAAATACTGTTCGGCCATGAGGCTAATGAGTTGATCGAGTGCTAGCATAAGCTTCAATTATTAGCTCGTAGAGCTCAGCTCACGAGCCACTTATCGAGTTAAATTCGAGCCGGTGAGCTCAACTCACGAACCACTTGAGCCGAGTTAGAGCTGCCTCCTTGCATGGCTGCAGTTCAAAATAGATAATTAGTTTAATCACCTTCTAATTGCATAATTAATTATGGTTGATGCTGCACTGAATTCAAGCCAAGAAGGCCACGTGAAGTATTGATTATTGTTATTTTAGAAGGGATGTTTGGTATTAAAAGTGGTCATATCAAGTATTATATAGGCAGATGGGGCAGCTAGCATAGCCCTACTTTAAGGAATGATTGAAACTATTAAATATAATATTATTCTTCTTCGTTAAGAAGATATATCCGAATCTATCTTGAATGAAGGCCAAGGATTTGATCTGATCTGTTGTGTGCTTATAAAGCCATAAAATAGATGCCAAAGTACTTAATAGAGAAACGAATCAAATCAAGGGAGAACAATAAAATAAATGGGTTATTAATGTGTTATTAATAAATTTTTATTGGCACTCATGTTCTCGATGTATTTTAAGCTAGAAATACTTAGAATTGAAATTCACGATTATTCAGATGCGGCCCGATTGCAATAAGTTTATAATCAAACTAAACGACGTCTTGACATGATAAACCGAATGATAATGTATGCGATCTGATTGACGTCGAAAGAAGATCAAATCAAATACATGAAGTATCGTTGAAGGCTGATACATCAAGTGGAATATAAAGTAATTTTAAAATTTGATATGTTTATATTCAAACCAAGTATTTTGATGAGAGGAATCCAACAAGCATAAGATCATCTAATTCTGAAGTTGCAAAGATAATTAAATGTTAAAAAAATATAGTCCGTCTGATAGAGTGTCTTGAGAGATTGATCAATTTTGCCAAAATGTCCCTCCCAAAAATCATAAATAAACCTTTATTTTTTTATTTATGAGAAGAATAGAAGAGAAGAATGAACTGACGACTAAAACATAACTCTTGAAGTCTTGGCGATTGTCGCCGTCATCTGAGATCGTGGTCGTCTACTAGTCACCACTGACCACTAAAGGTTGTCATCGAGTACCCGTAGTTGTAGACCACCAGTTGTTGTCGACCACCACGAACTATGGTTTTAATATCCCTACTAAGACAGTTATAGCCTCTTATAATTATGACTTTTATAGTCACCTATAGATGCTATAGCCTCCAACAATGACTTTGCTAACTCTACTGCAGTTGTCATGACAATCAGCTTCAACTTAAATAGTAAGCTATAGTTTCTACAGTCGAATATAATTGTTGTAGTCCCTCCACGAGCATTATAATTAGACTATAGTATTATAGTTTTAACTACCATTATATAGTTATATTTATTGGGTTATTTTAAAACATTTATGATGCGACGTAATATTATAATCCCGTCATCCCTAATCCAAGTGAAGAGTTGATATATGTT